CTACGATAATACAAAGAACCTAGGACACATGCAATCTACAACTTACAAGATATATACATGTACATACGGGCTTGATGATATGACTGATTGTGAGTTCCCGAAGTAAACTCCAAGCACTTGTACCATGCTACATCCTACTATACCATACCATACCATAGAACTAAACCACTGGTGATAAAAGACCATCAGTATTCTGTGTTATGCGACCGGTCAGCTCAGGACCCAGACCATGTAACGTAACCGTTACATGTAAAATGTACAGTGTAGGTACGTGGAGTGCAACCTGCATTGAGCGAACACCTGACTATTGAGACAACAAGTCTGTGCACCATAGCGTGTAGGCTAGAGGCCGTTGAGGGTGGAGGGTAGCCCTAAATTGCAGGATAACGCTGGCATAAACAACTAGACAGAATTTGGTGCTTTTTCTGGTATGTTTCATGCATGTTTGGTACAATGTACATGTACATGTATATGGAATGTATATGGAACTGGAATTGCCCGCCATAAGGTTTGTATGGTTCTGCCAATTTCCTTGCTTTTCGAGCAGAATCTGCCACCTTTTCGAGCAGAATTTGCCAAGTATACGAGCATTATCCAACAAGGGCTACATTGTTGTAGTTATCGGGGCAAAGATAGCTATCCCTGTGCCCAATGATTATCCCGCACAAGCACGGAATACTCTGGGAACGCACGAAACGTGGAGTTTCCAAAACAAAGGTCACGTGACATTTACGTACATGTACATGTACATGATGTGTAGATGTATACCGCTAATGTAGTGCATACATGCCATGTACATGTATGAGCTGCTATCGAATGGCCAGCCCATCTAATCGATCTGCTTTTGTAGATGATGCTTCTCAATCTTGAACCGTTCGCATTACAGTGTATGTGTCACAACGTCATAGATGCTTGCAGATGGCAATGGTGGGATGTTATTAGGACCAAGTATACAAGAGAGATTGGCAGCTGTGTCGCAACTCTGAGTTTCCAAGCAGACCCCACTTGTAGACACAACTAGTACACGTAAACCAGCGAAGATCTTGCGTCATAAAACGACGGTGCTTTGTGGTGTAGTCCACTTCATACGTCATTTCTGCGGGGAACCATGAACGATTGGACGTGTACATTTAAAAAAATTAATGTTTGTTGTCACATTTCGGACAGGACACTGTGACATGATGCGTGTGTATGACGGTCATGTACATGTACATGTACATGACCGTCATACACACGTACATGTACATGTACATGATGTACATGTACATGAACATGTACTATGCACAAAACAGATTGCGGTTGACTTGCGAAAGTGCTCAGCCCACGAAGAGGAGCCTGCGACACAGGTCCACAACAATACAAAGTTCCCCACCACTGTGATCGACCTACATGTCACTAACGTGTGTACCATGTACTGTACAGACATGCACATGTGTGTGTACGCGTAGAGCGAATTAGAATTAACTTTTTACAGAATCGACACTGAAATAGATTTGGGACGTGGAGAGCCTGGACTGGCTGGAGTTTGGATGCTTCTCATGTTGAGCCACTCGAGGCCGAACAACTGTACTGTCACTGCTGTTGGCAGTTTCGATGGCTGTCAGTAAATCAATAATTATTGATATACAGCAGTCGTAGTGTTAGCACCGGCCGGGCCTGCCAATGTCAGTACGCAGAGCGTTCCTATCCCACAACCCCATGCCACCCACAAGCCAGAGCATGCAGCTCAATCTTCGACTAGTCGACTCTACACTGCACATGTAGCACTGTCAGCTCAACATGCCACCGCTTTCAGTATCACACTGTGATGCACTGCGGTCCAATGCAGAAAAAGAACCCTCACATCCAACAGGAATCTGGAATATTCGCCAAGTGCTACACCTCACATGATGAAACTTAGCCAGGCAAGTCCAACAGAAAGATCCTAATTGATCTAACCTTTCAAGACTGATGAGATGTTGGCTCGGCTAGTGGCTCCGCTGACAATCTAGTGTTTCCACAAAGTGAACTTCAATCTGCTCATGTTCCAGACTAACGTAGCCACTCAACAATTGCCACCGACGAGAAGCGGGAATAAGTACTTCGAAGTAGAAAGATGACAATCTCAACTTGCAAATCGTTTGTAGCAGTCTCCGTACCATTTTCTTTCAGTATTCCTTTCGAGCTGGGTATGTGAACATAGTCAAACAAATAAGTGAGATGAGGCTTACCGGTAGGGTCCGGCGGATTCTGTCGGCAGAAAAATTGGCAGAATTCGGTACTTTTTCTGGTAAGCTTCATGCATGTTTGGTATGTGGATAAAGAAATGGAGCAGAATTCGAGGAATTGCCCGCCATAAGGTTTGTATAGTTCTGCCACTTTCACTGCTTTTCGAGCAGAATCTGCCACCTTTTCGAGCATAATCCGCCGGTCCCTAGGCTTACGTAACATTGGAATGTACATGTATATGTACCTTTTGTTTCTGACGGCTCATATACACTGCAATTCTACATGTAAGCCATGCCACGCACAACCCTACCAAAACATAGTGAAGGAAGAGGAGCAGGAATGGTTTTGTCTCATTATGGGTGCGATTTGTTCGGACAGGACATGTTCATTACAGTCACGCGGCCTTTGCAATTTTTGTGCATACACGGACGTGGATATGAAAGCAGCGCATTCTCTTAATTCAACGTTACTGGTCCGATTTCACCATGCCACAATTCTACAGTACACTGCATGCACATGTACATGTATGACGTACATGTAGTTCGTACTAAATGTATCGACCATTCTGGTGCATGATATACAACATGTATTACCTTTAATTAATGCGGGCCATGACATGGATTTTGTGCACGTGTGTAATACATGTATACTCAGTAAATGCTTACATGCACATGAAGACGTACAGGGATGTTGTGGGACTATGCGGAAGTACCTATACATGTACACGTACGACGTTATGGATCGCTTTCCATTATAGGTCACACTCGATTTCATCCAATATTGCTCAACAATGAACATCCATTATCGCCGTCATGAGACGCCATCAACTACCACCGCACGCAGCCTTACACGCACACGCTCGTGTTGGGGCTATCGCGCTGCGGTAAGCCGTAGGATGCCTTCGAAAAGGATTGGTGTATTACACGATGCAGCCAACAACATTTGGCATGGATCATTAAGCATATCCGCCAGGGGATTGTGGTGCTACTAAACGTTAAAGCGTGTATTCAGACCTTCAGGGTTCCGTACAGGCTTTGTGTGAACGTGGTACACGCCACCGAACAACATAATCGCGTGATGAAGGTGCTCGTTCGTGATCCAAAGCGAAACGCGCGGTCGCATTCTTCCCATCAGGCAATCGTGACAGGAACTCAGAAATCCCCTTGCACCATGCACGGCCAAGCCACGCTTAGAGTTAGGCCCTATGCTCCGAAGCCTTGCAAACGCGACGGTCTCGTCTCTCAGATCTGCCATGGCACCTTGAGGGTATTACCACTAGCCGTTACGCATCCGCCGCCTTCCGATACTGCTTCCCTGGCTAGTGAGTTCTGAGCGGCAGGAAGTACTCACCATGTAACTACACACTGATGCCATGTACATGTGTAGAAAGCGAGATCTGATTCGTTGTCTCTCTCCACTCTCCAGCTCGGTGCGCTGCCACTGTGCTAGCGATGTGAATGCAAGGGTCAAACTGGCGACAGTGGAACGGAATGCATCGGGTACCTGTTTACGCTTTGCGAACCGGCCCTAGTGGCTTTTGTGGCTGAGCGTCAAGGCATCATGCTTCAGTGATGCCTTCTTCAGTCGTCCTCCTTTCGGGCCCTGGAAGTGGACCAATCGCCAGCTCATCATAATTAGTACACGTGTACGTGTGCGCGTGCGTGCTCCGCGCGCGTGCGTGTGTGTGTGTTTGTGAGTGAGCGCGCAAGTGTGTGTTTCTGCGATGGCTTCAGACACTCCGAGCACAATCATGTTTGCCGCTTCCCCAATCCACTGCATTTCACCAGGAGACATTGGCGATATTGCATTGGTGCGCCTCTCCTAGAACACCGCTGAATGGTGGCGTCAAACCATGATCTAGCTTGCGGCTTGGATTGATGCGGTAACATCAAGTACACGATTATAGTTAATGTTACTTTGTTCACTACGCGTAACCTCTTTGCGCGTTGAACGCGTCATCGTTGCATGCTTCGCCCAAGTAACGTTAGTTTCAAAGCAACTGATTTCGACTAATATTCGAATTTCATGTCGTCGACCCACATCCCACTGTTTGGATAACGGTTAGCCCACGGTACCTACGATACGCGTCACGCTTTTCGTCTTGCGAAACCGATAGCATAGTCCATATCCATACCTTTACGCAATGCGTGTCGGTCTCTTGTTATAATAACTCTCACACTATAGCAGAAGCCGCGCGGAATTTGGGTAGCCTTTTTGCTTTGGTTTACACTTTACGGTTTCACGCGATTGGTTTTGTGAATAAACCCATTCTCACCAGTAGTAGCGTCGATCACACACGCCCCGGGAAATCATGTTTGCATTTCGTTGTCAGTGTTACAACTACACTTTCTCCGCCATTAGGTTAGTGAGACACCAGGAGAAATGTTTCCACGGTGACTGTGCTAAGTGCCAACTACAAGGGTGAAACCACTTAGCATTTCTAGTACGACATCACTAGTGCCTGGACAAATACATCCTCACCTAATCAGTTTGTGCTTGCCCTGCGGTGCAGAATGCACCTAAATAGCCTTTCACGGCGTCTATTTTCGACCGAAGAGTGCGATTCCAGGTACATGTCAAGTCCTTGGCCTTGCATGGTGCTGTTCTCTTCTTTTCTCCTTTTTGTTGAAACCCATCAACGCTATTCTAACGTTTTAAAATAATACTTGATTCCTGCCCAGTGAGCCTCGGACGTAAGTGGCAATTAGGCTATAGATCTATGCTAGTTCGACTTGGTTTAGTAGTTATCGCGGATTCACGGAAAAGATGCAGGGCAGAGAAGCTGAAATAAGGAAACGCGTTGTCTAATCTGAATGATCTGGCTGTTTTCCGCTTGCGTCTTTCCAGAGATCTCCTATCACTTTTGTAGTATGCAATGTACTTGTATAAATACGTTTTCTTTTTCTATGGGCGATGGGTGCTGGACTGGAGCCTGCATGCGGAAGCGTTCCAAGCGGGCGACCTCAATGAATATTCTATCTCGCCGAGGGCTCCAGCTCCACTAACTACTGATGGCATCAACCTGATTCAATGTTCATTGCGGCAAATGTATTTCGCCAACGGCATCGTCAAGCACAGCTACTTCTGTTGACGACTACAAACGACTCGTACATTGTGCGTCAGTGTAGCTGCGAGTACTGTCTCTGATAGGGGCTACAAAGCTCATCGCAATGATTTCCTTTATTGGTTGATGAATCCCCAAAGGCTTTTCACCTATTGAGGGGTTCAAAAAAAATCACGGTTCGCGTGAGACTCGGCCAAAGGCCCAGTTTTCCGCATCCGCAGGAACGCCACCACCCTCTTGGATCACGGCGCAGATGCAGCTCCTAAGCGGTGGGAGGTGAGCAGTGAATGGGATTTCGGTCTTTGACGACTTTGTGGAGGGGTTCAAATACGTTTTTTAATTGGGAATCAAAAGCTAAGCAAAGAAGTGGATACAGAAACCGTGTAATTATGGCCCTGTTGATATACATGCACATGTACATGTACATGTAGGTTCAGTAGTTCAAGGCTCCAAGCAATGTGATAATTATACAAGTCATGTACATGTACAGTCAACTTCGCTTATAACGACACTCGGCGGGGCATCAAAAAGGTGTCCTTATTTGCGAAGTGTCGTTATACCCGAAGTCTCATTATATGTATTACAGTGGGATGGGACTTTGCTCTGGGCATGGGAATTCTGTCGTTATTCGTGAATTGTCGTTATATCCGCAGTCGTTATTAGCGAAGTTGACTGTAATGTTTCTATCGACCTACCTCATGGTGATAACATACAACCCTAGACTATAGTGTGTCAAGTTAGCCACGTAAACAACATGCGGAGCTTTGGATACGGACATTCAATGTCTCAAGTCTGGCAGTTCTCCTCGCACTCCTCACTGAACTCTACGCGTTGGTACATGTAGCTCTTAGTGGATAGCTCAGGCAGAGAGAGAGAGCAGCAGAGAGAGAGCAGCAGAGAGAGAGAGAGAGAGAGAGAGAGAGAGAGAGAGAGAGAGAGAGAGAGAGGAGAGAGAGAGAGAGAGAGAGAGAGAGAGAGAGGAGAGAGAGAGAGAGAGAGAGAGAGAGAGAGAGAGAGAGAGAGCAGCAGAGAGAGAGAGCAGCAGAGAGCAGCAGAGAGAGAGAGAGAGAGAGAGAGAGAGAGAGAGAGAAAAAAAAGAGAGAAGAGAGAGAGAGAGAGGAGAGAGAGAGAGAGAGAGAGAGAGAGAGAGAGAGAGAGAGAGAGAGAGAGAGAGAGCAGCAGAGAGAGAGCAGCAGCAGAGAGAGAGAGAGAGAGAGAGAGAGAGGAGAGAGAGAGAGAGAGAGAGAGAGAGAGAAAGAGAGGAGAGAGAAGAGAGAGAGAGAGAGAGAGAGAGAGAGAGAGAGAGAGAGAGAGAGAGAGAGAGAGAGAGAGAGAGAGAGAGAGAGAGAGAGAGAGGAGAGAGAGAGAGGAGAGAGAGAGAGAGAGAGAGAGAGAGAGAGAGAGAGAGAGAGAGAGAGAGAGAGAGAGAGAGAGAGAGAGAGAGAGAGAGAGAGAGAGAGAGAGAGAGGAGAGAGAGAGAGAGAGAGAGAGAGAGAGAGAGAGAGAGAGAGCAGCAGCAGCAGAGCCGAGCGATCTTTTCAGCTAGTTGTATCCTTGCTCTGAGCATGGGTGATGATGGGGAGCAGAATGTCAACCATGTGCTTTGTGTGGTGCTCCCGATGTAATGATATGTCAATGCTTTTTGCGTAGAGCCTGCCAATTGTTCGAGCATAATCTGCCAAGGCTTTCTCATGGGCGGGCACTA